AAAAAAAAAAGAGAGCGGCGGGCGAGCTAATCGCTCAGTGGACGTGCTCTGCATACCCCTCGTGAGCACGCTCCGTCCCAGGCCTTGGGAATGCATAGTGTGCAGGACCGACAGGGCCTCTGCATCCCCGGGGCAGACAGCGGAGTAAGCAGGGATGCTGGAGGTGAGGTGGAGAAAGGGCGTGGAGTCATGGAGCCACGGGCAGAGACTTTGAACAAGGTTTGAAGGAGGTGACGAGCTGCACTGTGTTTTTCCAGGGAAAGGGGTTTCAGTAGGGCAGACAGAGGAGTGGAGGGCCGGGGCTGGTCTGAGCTGGCCGCTGGCTGGTTGCTGGGCCTGGTGCTTTGCTGAGTACTTACTGAGTGCTGAGCTGGAGCTGAGCTTGGTGCCTGCTGGGTGCTGTGTTACACACTGTCTCACTCACTGTCACGGCCGTCCTGGGACAGGCTCTGTCTCTGAGGACACCGAGCTCAGGGACATGAGGTGCTCCTCAGGTCCCAGCCGTCGTCCCGTGGAGCCGGGCTGCGCCTGCCCGCCAGCCTCGGCACTCCTCAGCGCGTTCTGTGCTTCCTCCAAGCACAAGTCTGAAACTTCTTTTATTTATTATCACTTATTTCCTTTTAATTGCGGTGAGACATGCATGCCATAACGTGAACCCTTTGCAAGTAAACAAGCTAGTTCAAAAAATTTTCATCACCAGGAACCAGCAGTTAGCGTAATGGCTATGTTGCCGGACTCCCATGTAGTCGACTGAGGTTCGTGTCCCGGACCCGGTGGCTTAAACTCACGCCGGGCGTGTGTGCGTGCGTGCCCAAGATCCCGAGAGGAGAATGGAGGAGAAGGGATTGCGGCATGACCATCCGCCCTGGGGGGTGATTTCTCGCTTTCTGTCTCTATGTCTCTCTCTGTCTGTCTGGCGAGCGCACGCGCCCTATAGCGAAAAAAACCTCTCCAAAAAAAAAAAAATTTTCATCACCCCAAAAAGAAACTCCACAGCCATAAAGCAGTCGCCCCAGCCCCTGGCAGCAGCCTCTGCGTTCTGTCTCTACAGATGGACCTTGCTGGGCCTCACATGCCCACAATCAGGTGTTTGCTCATGTCCCGGCTAAGCGTTCCAGTCACATGTAAAAAAAAATCGAGGCGGGGGGAACCAGCAGTTAGCGTAATGGCTATGTCGCTGTACTCCCACGTAGTCGACCGCGGTTCGTGTCCCGGACCCGGTGGCTTAAAACTCACGCCGGGCGCGTGTGCGTGTGTGCCCAAGATCCCGAGAGGAGAATGGAGGAGAAGGGATTGCGGCGTGACCATCCCCCCTGGGGGGTGATTTCTCGCTTTCTGTCTCTATGTCTCTCTCTGTCTGTCTGGTGAGCGCACGCGCCCTACAGTGAAAATCTCTCAAAAAAAAAAAAAAAAAAATGGAGGCTGTACGAGGGCACGCCCAGACGAAGCGCAGTGTCCTTCTCGGGCCGCTTCGAGTTGAGGCGCCCGCGTCTAACGGGCACATGCGTGTCTGTCAGTCCAAGGCGTGCTGTCCACTCCTTTTTTTCTTTAAATGAAAGAGAGAAAGAGTGAGGTGGGTACTTTGGACAGGTCTCACCAGGCCGCAGTCCTCCTGCGTGGTCCCCAGTGAGCCAGGGCCACAGGTCCAGGCTGCCATGCCCACGCATCCAGGTCTGTCCCGGAATCGAACTCAGCCTTCCTTGCACCCTCCTGCCTGCGCCCTGCGGCCGGGCCCGTCCTCCGCTCTTTGCTTCCCCGTGTGGTGTGTTTCGGCACCCTTTCCCATCAGCCCGTGTCGTGTTGGTGCTGTGTGCATACCCGGGCCTCCGAGCAGCCTTCACCAGTGACCAACGAACCTTTCAGGCGTTCCCATCTGCAAAGGGCAGGTGTCGCGAGCGTGACCCCTCAGTGCGGGCCATGGGCTGGGGCCCTGTGCCCTTTACAAGTTGTGGGGTTGCCTTCCACAGAGCTGGTGCTGCCGGGTGCTTTTCCTGCTCTGCTGCGGCCAGCCTCCGTCCAGGCACCTGGCCCTCCTCTGAGACCTGGGCACACCATGCCTCTCCAGGCCGCACCTCCCTTGGCCACAGAACGCGATGCAGGACCAGCTGAGGCCCCTGGACACCTTTCCCTTCCTCCAACTGGTGTCCCTGGGAGGGTTTGCGCTTTCATTTTCAGGCGGGAGAGCGATTAGTGACAGTGCTCTTGCCAGAGAAAGAGGGAGGCGGACAGGAAGCACCCACAGAGGGCGAGGTCCTGCTGTGATCCTTTCTCTCCGTTTCTCCGTCCGTCAGGATTTGGGGTGTGCACGCACATGTGCCCGGTGTGTTACTCAAGCTGCCAGGGCCAGGATTCACAGCGCAGTCAGCCATGTGGGACCCAGCTCCCTACGCACAGGGCTTAACTACCATGTTACGGGGTGACTTGGCCCCAACAATATTTTAAATTCTTTTTATAAAGTTTATTTCTTCTGGGAAGGCAGCCTACTGGGATCTCAGCTGGCCTGGCCCGTGGCCTCTGTGAGTGTTTGGCATAATAAGGAGGTCCCAGGACACGAACCCTGGACCTTTCCCACGGGTCTGGCTGTGTTATGACCTGGACCCGCCTTTGAACTTTCTGCTGTTGTGTAATGTGCATCTGTCATGGTGTTTACAAAGCGAGCATCCATGTGACCACCCAGATCCAGACCCTCGGGCCCTTCCCCACCAGGTCATCAAGTCCTGACTCCTAACAGCTAAAATGAGTTTTCGAACAAGCATGTGACTTGAAGTAGCTTTCAAAACTTTTAAGAAATGTACAGATGTGATGGCACGTCTGGGAAGAATAGAGGTCATGCGGGTGACCCGCAGGGGCTGGGCTGGGTGGGGTGGCGGGTCTTGGTGCTCTCTACAAAGATCATGCGGGTGACCCGCAGGGGCTGGGCTGGGTGGGCAGCAGGGAGTGGGCCCCTGCATGCTTCCTGGTGCTCAGCTC